AGGACGGAGTTGTGATTGTTCAAGTCACGGTGTGGTATACCCCCCCTGCTTGGTGTCGAATCTGTAAGTACCCACACAATCATGACTGGATGACGGCCATGACGGCACGTCCATATGGAACTAGTCTTACTTCTCTACCTAGTAGTCTCCTATACCTACATAAATTCAATGTCTCCCACCCAGGTCCTTCGAAACTTGACTCCAAAAAAATTGCTATACTTAGATTCCTCAACCTCCCGGCTTTGTTGTTGTTCTTGGGAGAGACCATGAGATAAGGCATAAGCTGGGCAAGGGGGTGTCACTTTATTTTAGCACCAACCCAATTTTTCTATAAACAGGCTACATCCTTATCGCTGATCAACGGCCTTGCGCGGCAACGAGGGTTTAGCGGCAGCGGGAGATTTGCCGTTGTCCGGGGCTAATGCGCGGGTATTTTGGACAGGCAAAAAAAATGCGGGAGGGGGGTGAGAGGGGTTGGGAGCGGGAAGACATCACTTCATCATTTCGTGACAAAATTTTACATTGGTATCTCTTTAGTAGAGTTTTTTCTGTTTTCAATTGGTTTACACTGTTGTGGGTGGGTGATGGAATAGCTTATTTTGCTATTTACTTTTATTTGTTGTTATATTTGCTTTGATACCTGAGGTAATCTTGAATGCGGAAAGAAAGAGTTATTTGAATCTATGGGACATCGATGTCCATCCAATCGGGATCATCGTCATCGTCGTCTGTGTCCTGCGAGTCTTCACTACCAGATGTATCAGACGGGGATCGCCGCATGCGGACAACGAGGTTCTTGTCGCTGCGCTCGACGTCATCATGCCATATTTCCAAACCATTGACGCTACCACCGCCACCAACAAAGTACAAGTAGCCGACCTGGCCCGCGACTTTTGCCGTCTGGCGCTCCAGTTCCTCGCGCTCCTCACGCTGTTTCAGCGTCTCGATGAATTCCGGCTCGACCTGCACTTGCTCCGACGACTCCGAGTAGGATAGAGAGCTGCGCGGAGGACGAGGCCGCGTCGTGTTTCCACGTGCTCGGCGCTCCGCCATGCGACCCTGTTCCTGGATGCTGCGGTAGTTGCGCCAGCTAAAGAAGCCGGGCATAGGCAAGTCCCAGAAGGTGGCGGCAATCTCAAAGTCGGGGCTCAGGCCGTGCTTGAGGCGCACCGCTGCTTCTGTCTTGTTTCGGGCGTTCCAGGCCTCGCGGAGGGCGTTTTGCTGCTGCATATAGTGGCGGTGGTTGTTGATGATTTGGAGCAATTCGGGGTTGCCTTGTTGTGGTTTTGCTGGCGGCCGCCAGTGCTGAGTGGTGGTGCATGCTGGCCGAGGCGGAGGCCGTGGCGGTGTGCTGGAGTCGAGGGGCCGTGACGTGATAGGGGCAGCGACGGCCTTTTCCCACCAAGCCACATTGTACGCTGCAGCCTGCGCCTCGGGTACACTGGTTGGATACGAGGCTGACATGGAGTCACAGATGGTGCAGAGCGAGGGGCTCTGGGATAGGACTGCTGCCTGGGCCGACCGCGGGTCTGATCGTCTGTGTGCGTCGTCCCACAATTGTTCCCGCTCCCAGCGGAGTTGATCGTCTCTCCTCGTTTTCTCAAAGCGCTGCTTTGCAATGAAATACCCCTTTCTGGCCTTGTTCCACCGCTGGTTGCGCATGGGCTCGGGGGGTTTCAAGCCCCCTTGGCTGGCCAGCTTCTTCAACGCGGCGTCGGACCTTGCACGGGCCCGGGAGAGAGCGCATCGAGGGCACCATGGCACATGTGTCGAACTCGAAGGGTGAATTGCATGGCCACATTTACTAGCTGTCCGTATTGGGTGACCGTAAAAGGAGCCGGGAAGCGTTTGTTTTTTGTCCAGGATGGCGGGCATGTATTCTGGGGTGAGCATCATCGGCATGATGGAGACAATGGTTTGGTTGGTGAATTTGGTGGTTGAGGGTCGTAAAGGAGCGTATGTGCATTATTGCTGGTGGGTTAAGGTATGGGTCGCGTGATGTGGTGGACCACAGCCAGGCGAGGGGAACTCGGAAAAAAACTAAGCAGGAAGAAAGGATTGGAGCCACCAAGAGAGGAAAAGACTTGACAAGGACAACAGCGATCCGGATCGAGGCCAGGGCAGAAGATGTGCGTACGGCAGCACTTTTTAAACTGTGAGATGGACCTTCAGCCCTGTTGAACGAGGCGCGCAAGCGCGTCATCGTGCTGGCCCCCTATTGGCCTGTTACTACAAAAAGTCGCACGCGCGTCAGTCATGGCCACCTGCCCGTGCGCCTATTGGCTGTGGCCTGCCCACCCGCCCGCCTGGATATCGTGGGGGCAGATTGACTTACTACAACACATCGCCTCTGACTTGGCACCGACACCATGCTCTTGGGCATCCTCCCGCAACCACTACGAAGCCCGACCTTGCCACGCTCATCCACACTAGCCTGAGAAGGACTGCCCTTCCTCCCACATCACCCTCACCCTCACCCTCACCTTCACCACGAGACCTCTGTGTCAACCCCCACATGATGCCATGTACAAGATCCAGTCACTCCGGCGTCAAAGCTACCATCGTCATGCTCCGGCCTCGAACACAAAGAAATCTCCTAGTCCGGTTGCTCGATGCAAACCCATCCAATTGCTGCCAATATGCAGCAAACACTCAAGCTCAGCCTGTGCAATTTAGAAACAAGAGTGAATGGTGATTGACCATCTAATTGGTTGCCGCATTCACTGCAGCACAATGGACTTGAAAAATAGTTTTTATACAACCGTTTGAATGTCCCTCCTCTTACCCTCAACTGGCACCCAGCAGCAATATCGACAGCATGGAAGAAACACGACCAGAACTCCCGCGCAGGCGTGCCTCGTTTAACCCTGAAGCAGCCACCTTCAGTCCGACGCCGGCCAAAATTGGGACGGCAGATATTGATACGAAGCTAACTCCCCGCATGAACTCTCTGCAGAGGTTGAGCGTCCCGGGAATGTACGAAGGTGGTTATTTTCCATCACGGGGTTCAAGCCATCAGCCAGTGACTTGAATATAGAAGATTCTCCCTTTCGGCCTTCCCGAGAGATGCGCCCTGACTACCAGGAGTATAGTGGACCGAGTGTCCCGCAACTTACACGCACTCAGTCGGACCAGCTGGATATGTCATTTGCCGATTTTCATGATATGCTGCATGGTAAGACTAGGCCCAGCACCGCTCAAACATGCAGTGCTAATGCAAACACTGCGTAGCCCTAGGTCAAGCTGGAAACCAAGCAGCACAGAACCCCGGTACTCCGACGGAATCCATCCACACTGCAACGCCCTATCAGTCACGATGGGTTTGGCCTGCACAACGCTATGAGCCCAGCTTCAGTGCCCCAGAAGTCGAAGAGCTTAGCACCAGTCTTGGACTTCCCGGCATAGTGGGGAAGGTAAAGGCGCGCGCCGACGACTCAACGACACGCCCCAGCAATCTCCCCAACTTCAAAAGTCCTGCTAGCACTAATCTTCATGGTAAGCTCATGGGTCGAGCTCTCGGTAAGCCGTTTACTGCTAACGCTCTAGCCCGCTTTCTTAACGCGCAGGGTGTCTCAGATCATACAGCTATAGGACCTCAGAATCTTCATGGCTATGACTTTGGCATACAACAAGAGCGGGAGGTTGGAGAATATCCGCCTACCAGAACTGTACAGCCACCTCCCGGATTTTCTGGAGAGCGTCCCCGTGAGATTGTTGAAGAAGATCGGCCTACTAGAACTGTACAACCACCTCCTGGATTTATCGGAGAAAGTTCCCGCGAGATCTTTGCTGAAAAGCGCGGCACCAACTTTGCGGATATCTTGGAGCCGCAACTCGTGACTGCAGGACCTTCAGCGTTTAGACGCCCCCGCCGATTCAGCGACCTCCAGTCCACCGTCCAAGCTCTGCAACAGAGGAGCCATGCAAACCGCCTGCCACCTAAGAGAGCCACTCGCCCCCGAGCAGCCACCCGCACCAAGCGTTCCGACCAAGGTCCCGAGCCTTCCTCCGCAGATATCTACCCAGACGATGCACCCTACCCATCTATCCGCCGCCCATCCTACGTGCCAGACCCTGCTCTCGTATTCCACGACTACACCTCGCACGACCGCGGCTTCAAGCCCCAAGACACTACATCCTGGCCCACCCCCGCAGAAGTCTACTCCGAGAAACCCGTCCAAGGTCCCACTCACCCCAGTTCCTCCACCAAAGAAGACATTGAACCGGAATTCGATCTCTTCAAAGATCACTACTATCCTACTGATGCCGATATCCATGACCCTGACGCGGACATCGATGCTTTGCTCAAGGCTACCCCGCATCTTTTCGATCTCGACGTGCCGGAGCTGGAGTGTGATCCGCGTCCGTTGACGCCGGGCCAGATTGACGGATCGCGGTATGGGATGCGGTTTCATGGTATCGGGCTAGGGGATAGGTGGATGGGTCCGGATTTGAGTGGTGATCCGAACATCCAGGTTCGCTGGTGATTTGGCGCGGTTTGACACTGGGATAGATCCGACCTGAGGTTGGGATTACTAGTGTGCTTGGTATTATTTGGGCTTTATGCCCTGGGACCTGTTTGCCTTGCTATCAATGCAACTGGTAGAATCTGTATGAGGGGATTGGAACAGGGAAAATGATTGCAATGGAATACGAGGATCAAAATGTGTCGGCCCAAAGAATCCCTACGGATTCTTTTGACATGGACTGTATGATTATAAGTGGCCAGCAGAAGAATAGGATTCAATAAGAATACTACTGCATACGAATGCCAAAAGAATATACATAGGTCTAACGAGGTCTACACTTCCATCCACCAGTACCCACCAGTGCCCCAACGCCGCCATAGCCAAGTACCCATTCATGTCATCATAGCCAGAACATAGCCCATGTCCACGAATCAAGGCCTGCCTCACATCCGTTTTTTTTGCGATTTCCTCCTCCCACCACGAACAAGAATTAACACATGACTTTGAATTCAAGAGCTAAAGACCATACTGCTATTGCGGCTGCGAAGGTGTTGCAGTGCCAGAACCGTTGGAAGGAGGAGTTCCCAGTCCAGACAGTGGACTTACGGTGCCACTTGGTGGGACGGGAATTTGAATATCTTCGGGACTACCGGGGACCATTGACTCGGGGAGGTCGGGGATCTTGATGCGCTTTGCGACGTTGTTGTAGGACGAGGGTATGATCTAGAAAATGTAAGTGTTTTGAATGAGAAACGAGCTTGGGTTAAGGGGTAAACTTACCTCGATAATCTCATCACGGGGAAACTCGAGTTTGGGAATGTCTGCTGCATTGCATGCCATAAGGTATCCATAAAGCACACGAAGCACGGATTCGTGGGCGATGATCAGAAGATCGTTTTCTTCGCGCTCGAGCTCGAGAATGATGGGCTCCATGCGTACGGCAAGGTCGTGATAAGACTCTGCGCGGGGGTATCGGTGATGGTATGGATCTACCTCGTGCTTTTTGACTTCCTCGGGGAACTCTTCTCGAATCTTGGCTTCGGACATCTTCTCACACACACCGGGGTTCATCTGGCTCATTTGAGATCGTTGCCTTACCCGGTATCCCATGGAAGCTAGAACCTCTGAAGTCTGGACAGTCCTTCGACGTGTCGAAGTCCAGATGGTCAGTGGTTTTAGAGACGCATCTGTCGCTCCAGACTCGATTAATTTCTGCTTTTCTTCCTCACGGTACTTCAACAACACTTCGCTCATCTTTCTTGCGTACTCGTGACCCTCTGGTGAGAGATTGGCATCGGCTTTGTATGAATCCTCCTCTCGCGTTGTTCCGGCACGTGCAAAGTATGTTTGCCGTGACTTGATGTGCAGATTGAGCAGGTAAAAGACAATACGCTGTGAGAGGTATCCAAATGCGCAGTTGTTTACAACAACCCGCTCGCCAGCATTGATCATTTTGATCCAATGTAGGTCGGTCTCCTCCATAGTCTCGAAATGAGGTATCCGTGCATTAATACGTGCCAGATAGTCTTGAACTGCGTCCTCGTCCTTCCAACCCTTGTAATCTGGTGAGGAAATCTTAACACGACGAACGTTTTCCTGGATGATGCGTTCGTCTGTGCAGTGTGATTCGATGAAGATTGTTTGAATCCCATTCTTTGCGAACTCCTTGGCTAACGACCGACGGCCCTGGCTGATGGCGTTGACCGCATCGTAAATGGCTACCTGACCTTTGTCGTTCTCCAGAAAATGATAGATATCGTCGCGACATTTTTTCAAAATCTTGTTGCGAAGCAAGACGGACTGTGGTGCTGCGTTGAGGAAGAAGTAGTCTTCAGGTACGTCCATGCCCGGACTTAGCGTAGCGCGACGGTAGTCGCCAAGATGAAACACGTGAGTCTTGACTCCGAGCCAGCGCAGGTAGCGGGCCAGGGCAACAGAGGTGTGCGTCTTTCCTCGAGCCGGGAGTCCGCAGGTGGCGATGACTATCCTGCCCGAATGGAAGAGGCGGCCCGACTCTGTGCTATAGAGTTGGGCAGGCGCCATTTCTTCCCTAGCAGGCAGGTCGTGGATTGCATCGACGGCTGTACTCGACCGCCGCCGGAAGCGGGGTGAGTTTGCGTATATCTCAGCGGTGCTATGCATGGTGAGTGAATGTTTTCTTGGGGCCATGTGCAGCGCTGCTGCTGGAGCATGGCCGCGGAAAGTGGGGTCATGGCACTCACAGTAGGGTGTCCATAGTTGTAAATAGGTAAAGTCTACAGGGAGAAGAATTGAAGCAAGAAGAAGACTGTGGATTGTGAGATGAAAGGGAAACAGCCACTCGTTAAGAAATGTGAGTAAGGTATGGATGCTTCAAGAAGGTCACGGTTCCCCGGTAGTCCAAAGGTGTGCCGAGCGACGTCAGCGAGCAAGGCGCGACAACCCGCGACAGTTCAATGTAGCGATTCTACCAGGCCACGTCGCAGGACTGTCTGAGAAGAACCAGTCAGTGCTTTTTCTTTTGGAGGATTTGGGAGTCGAAGGACCCAAGGCGCAAATGTCCGCTGCCGTCATGTTGGGGAGCCAGCCCTCGAAGATATCCGTGCCAAGGCTTAGCTTATTAAGCTAAGTCAGCTGCGCTGACACTCGCCGCAGGCGAGTGCCGACGCTCAATACGATATTACCATCAATACGATATTTTTTCGCGCAACCCAGATATATTGCTAAATAACTACTCAACCAC